TAATTTGAAAGATATATTTGACTGTGAGCAATATTTAAAAGGTTCATAGAACTGAAATTAAGATCCAGTAATTTCTATTTCTGATATTTACAAGAATTGCTAAAGTGCTTAGAAAGGTTTTCCTAATTATGTCTGCAAATCTGCCCTTTTGGGCATTTTAAAAGTTTAAGAGAATTAGATATATCAGTATTAAATTTGTAAATTGTAGTTAAAAGTATTTGGGGGAGCCCCATTAGCAAAATTTGTTAAAGAGGTTATTGATCCACTGAATTTAAATCTATTGACTCAGAAAAATCAATTTGTGATCATTTAATTGAATCTATTGAAGTCACATAGGTTAAATTTGATCTGGTAAATTTAATCTACTGAAATTAATCCTTAAACCTGTAGATTTAGGAAAAGCTAGGCTTTAAATTTTTACCTTTAATACACTGAATAGCAATTAAACCCCACAAAGTGGGAAACAATTATTTTTATATGCAAAAGCCCCCATCAAACATCAAGAAAAACTAAACCAGCAATCAACTCATCCTGTATGTCAAAACACTAATGCTATATGTCTATTTTCTGTAAGCTAGAGTTTAGGGAAAGCATATTCATTCAGCAGCCTGGTCTGCAGTTAGATAAATATTTTTGAAAAGCCTCCATTAGAGGCGAAGTCCTTGAGGACAAGAAGCTATTCTCCTTTTCCTCTACATAAAGCTCATCATTATTCCGTTTGGGGGAGGGAGGGTTAACAGTTGCTTACAGGTTTATCTCTTCCTGACATCAGAAGGCAGCTTGGTAGACAGGAAGGAATATTGGATTAATTATCAGCAATTATGGGGGCTCTCGGTCATCTCTCCACTCATCAGTTTTGTGTCGTTGGGTCAATTACGTCCACACATCTGAATTTATTTTCTTTATTCTTTAAAAGAATCGTGTCTGGTGAGGTTGTTATGATAACAAATTCATTTTTCCAACAGTGTGTGTTGAAAATCTAAGCCTCATGATAGGCTATAATCAAAGAGGAATCAAAGATTCTGCTGTCAGGGAGTTCACCAACTTAATATTACATAATGGAGTTAATGGACTGAGACCTAAACGACTGTGACCCAGAGAAGCCAGTTATACATTCTGTAACAGTAACTAATATTTCTGAACCCTTACTATATGCTATGTATCATTCAAAGCACTCAGTTATTTTATATAGTCTTCCACAGATAATAGAAAGCAGGTTTTGCTATCTATCCCCACTTTACAAGTGAGATGACTAAAGTACAGAGAGTTTAAGTGATCTGCAGAGGTTATTAGAGAATGCAATAATCATAAAGCTGGATTTGAACTCAAACCACTCTGAATCTACAACTGGCCTTCTTTACCTCCGCAGGACACTTCCTCTTAAGGGTGAAATCTAAACTTATAATGACATCCAAGGATACAGGCACATAGCCTCAAAACTTTCTGAACCTATTGTTTATGCGTTACCCAGATAGATCTCACTCTGGTAGACTAGTCCCATTAAATATCCAACAGATAAACAAACAAACAAAAATATCTAACAAACATATTTTGCAAATTCTTTATCATTTTCTCCAGCTGGAAATCTTGCTTTCCGCTATCACTGTAAACATTCTAGCGGATAACAATCTCTACCTTCTCTTTAAAATAACAACAGCTGATGTCTATATCAATTACTTGTCCCTTATTGCATGATATTCTCACATGGATGGTTAATTTTTAGTGAGTTTCTATCTTCATTTTTCAGTCAGATCATAAGTAACCCTAGGGCAGGGACAATGCCTTCAACTTCTTTAGGTTTTCCCATGACATTGCTTACTGCCCTAAATGACAATTTTCTGTGTATATGTCTGGCTACCTCAATGACTGACAATTTCTTGGCATACTATTTGCTACACAAATAGTTTCAATGACTATTTGGTGAGGAAACAAAAGAATGTATGAATAAATGAAATAGTCAAGTGCCCAGTGCCTACCGGATACTCAATAATTGCTACTTATTGTTGTAAGTCTCCAAATTCTGCTGAAAAATAGAAAATAATCTACTTTAAAATCTGCTTTAATAAACACCTCTAAAAGTATGATGACATAAATGTATAAAACACAAACCTATAGCCTGCACTTAATTAACCTATTGTTAAGGTCGTTGGTACTATGTGTAGTTTCACTTGCCAAACATTATCTTATATATCACATTACCAAATCCTACTTGGGGAATCAAAATGTTTATTTATTGGGGCACCTGGGTGGCTCAGTCGGTTAAGCATCTCCCTTTTGATCTCAGCTCAGGTGTTGACCTCAGAGTCATGAGTTCAAGCCCCGTGTCGGGCTCCACATTAGGTGTGGAGTCTATTTAAAAAAACAAAATAATTTGTTAACAGCAGATTTTTACAGTATTTGGCAAATCTGAAAGACTGATTACATGATGTCACTGTTAAAAGTAATGATGGTTGAGGGGTGGCTCTGTTGTTCAGCATCTGCCCTCGGCTCAGGTCATGATCCCAGGGTCCTGGGATCGAGCCCCACATCGGGCTCCCTGCTCTGCAGAGAGCCTGTTTCTCCCTCGCCCACTCCCCCTGCTTGTGTTCCTGCTCTCACTATCTCTCTCTCTGTCAAATAAATAAATAAAATCTTAAAAAAAAATAAGTTTTAAAAGTAATGATGTATGATAACATATAAGAAAAACTTGTGCCATCTACAAAACCCTCGTTGCTTCACACCAAGACAGCTACGTATGCCGAAGATACCACAATCATCATGATGTGTGTAAGGTATGTTCTAATAATTACTTCCTCCTTGTCATACCTTAGTCACTACGACAAATACTCGGTATTTAATGACACGAGATCAGGCACAGGAATACAGTTGAATAATTATGATACCATTATAATGAATTATAACAAATGCAAGATGTTTTTGATTACCAAGTGTACAGGCTGAGTTGTCCCCTCAAAATTCACATGTTGAAATCATAACCCCCAGCACCTCAGAATATGACCATATTTGGAGATAGGGTCTTTAGAGATGTAATTAAGGTAAAATAAGTCATTAGGACGGCCCCTAATCCAAGATAACTGGTGCCTTAGAAGAAGAATTTAGGACACAGGTACAGAAGGAAGGCCATGTGAATATGTAGGAAGAAGACGGCATTGAGGAGCCCAGGAGAGGCCTCAGAAGAAATCAAATTCGCCAATATCTTGATCTCAGCCTTCCAATCTCCAGAACTGTGAGAAAATGAATTTCTGTTGTCTAAGCCACCCACTCTGTGGTACTTTGTTACAGCACATCTAGCAAACTAATAAAACCAGGGACTTTCTCATTTCTTAATTCATTAAAATCTCATTTAGTACTCAAAACAGTTATATACCATTAACACTATCCCCGCTTCATAGAAAAGAAAACCGAAGTTTCAGAGAAGTTAAGTGGTATCTCTGCTTGTCTGGTGAGTATGCACCAGGATGCAGGATTCAGTTTGAAATCTTGTGACCCCAAATCCTGCCCACTTTCCACTCTGAGCAGGTGATGGATTAGAGGACCCCTGGGCTTTGGTCCCAGCAATGCTCTAAAGGAGTCGTGGGGATCTTCAGTGTCATTAGCTTTTTAACATCTTTGTTTTTTCATCTGCACAGTTGAGGGGGTTGAGTTGAATATTCTACGGGCTGAATAGACTAAGGGTTTATATAAAAGCCTTTGCAGTTTTAAAGTTCAGCTCAAATCATTGTCTTCAAACTTTTTTTTTTTTTAAGATTTATTTATCTATTTGAGAGAGACAGAGACAGTGCACGATGCGTGCAAGAAGGGGAGGGACAGAGGGAGAGAGAGAGAATCTCAAGTAGACTCCCCACTGAGTGTGGAGCCCCATGTGGGGCTCATCCCACAACCCTGAGATCATGACCTGAGCAGAAATCAAGAGTCGGAAGCTCAACTGACTGAGCCAACCAGTCTTTGGTCAAACTTCTAAAGAAATTACCTCTGTAAACTCATTTGGAAGTGAAAGAAAATTCACTATTTGCCCATGGGAATTTTGGCTTTATCAAAAAATATTTATACTTGAGGGGCCCCTGGGTGGCTCAGTTGATTAAGCGTCTGCCTTTGGCTCAGGTCATGATCCCAGGGTTCTAGGATCGAGTCCCACATGGGGCTCCCTGCTCAGCAGGGGGCCTGCTTCTTCCTCTCCCTCTGCGGCTTTCACTGTTTGTGCTCTCCTGCTCTCGTTCTGTCAGATCAATAAAATATACATATATATGTATATACTTGAAAATGTTTTGAAATATTATGATCTTAACTCATTTTAAAAAGTTATGTTTATAGGGTTTGTATCCCATTAGTTAATTTTCTATTGCTAAAGATTTACCCATTCTGAGCTTTAAGGATTGCGTATAGCTTCATGAACAAAACTCAGGATTGAAATTTTTTATAGAAAATCAGTCTTAAAATCTTTAGTGAATAATTGCATAATCTTGAGTGAAATAAACTAGTTGCAGACCTTAGTTTCTAGGTCTGAAAAATGAGGTAAATTACGTTCTACAGGCCTTGCAGGAAAGTTTGCCGTTAAATGAGAGAATACCTGTGAATTACTTTTGAACTTTTTCGAGGGAAGTTGCTACATAAATTCAACTACAATGTAATTAATAAAAACTCATAGTATTAGGTATCTTTTTTCAATAACTTCCTCAGCTTTGAAATACTTTGTGAACACTTGATTTGTAATTTCTTCATAGCCATTGTGAATGTACATTTTGTTTGTCAGGAAGAGGAAACGTATGGTGGAAAATAATTTGTACTACAATGGAGGGTAGCAGGTCAGGTGACTGGAGGAGTTAGAATTGTGACTCATCTCTTGTGTGTTCTCAACTACATAAAAGCAATCTGCCCAAGGGGGAGGGGAAAAAATCTACAAACCACACACTCCATCCAATCATATAAAGACAAATCAGCCTTCAGGCAAATCAAATGTCTTCATTTAAAGTTTACCTGGATTTGGCACTCTGCCCATCTTTCCAAATCTGTTAACAATATGCTTTCACAAACAGTTAAAAACATGCATACTGAAAAACATATCCTTCACAATGTTATTTTTAAAAACAAGGAACTCTTCAGCCCAGGGAAGATCATTGCTGGGGAAAAGGAAAGCTCCTTTCTGAGTTTGCAACATGTAAATACGGGATTAGTGGGTGGGATTGAGGTGTGCTCTGAGCATAAATAGAGGCTCGGGCTGAGCCCGCACACTAGGAGGCTTGGACCGCACTGAGGCCGGCTGGCTCACACGGACAGGTGGGTGGGGACATCAGGTAAGGCTCCGCAGGGCACTCGCTCTGATCACTTTGTAAAGTTGCAGGAATCAACAGAGAGAGAAGTGCAAGGTAGTTCCCAGGGGTTTGGAGGGGAAATAATGGAATTTCCATCAAAGGCTTACTGGGGCCTTTGTTTGGCCGGAGCTGGTAGAGGGCTGCATTCCTGAGCTGTTTCAAGGTAAGCTCTCTCCCTCTGGAAACAAGAGGTTTAAGCGTGGGTGAGCTCTAACCGTGTTCAGGCCTGGGACAGGGCCCAGCGTCTGTCACGTCACCGTGCACTTCTCACCATCAACTGCTCTGCTTCTCACCCACTGGCTAGAGCACAGGCCCAGAGGCCTGGCAAATCTCTGCTCGGACTGCCCGCTAGGAGCTGCAATTCACAGTATTACTGCACATCAGAAAACACAGTTCTCTTTCTCCATCTGCTGTAAGGATACTCTTGTTACATCTTCAGTCTTGAAATTCATGGGGTGGGCTCTAAGAGGAGAGATCTGGCTGCTTTCCTGAAGCATTTATGAACAGGGATCCTGACACCTCCTGCAAGTTCATTCCCTGCTAAAGATAAGCAGACACAGTGACCAGTAAAAAGAGGCGGTTCCATGGAGTGTGTGTGTGTGCGCACGTGTGCATCCAAATTCTATCTCCCATGGTTAGCGTTCTGTTTTGAGGTGGTTTAGGCAGGACCCTTGCAGAGCCGAGTCCGAGTCCGCTTATTATGAAAACTTGATAGAACGAATCTCAGAAAGTGAGCCTACAGCAGTATATTTATACAGCAGGAGTGGCATTAGGCTTCAGTGAGTCATCCTGCCATAAACACATGGATTATGTCAGTAGTTCCAACCGGTGAGCTGCGGAGCGATGACAAGGGGGCATGCAGCAAGAACCATCGATGAGCCAAATAGATAAAATGCTTCACCCGGGGGTCACGATTTTTTCTGATATAAAGAGATGCTGTTGCTATAAATAAAATACAAAGTCAAATGTTTGTTGATAAATTCCAAGTAGTTATTTGCCATGATATGGTTCTGAATCAACTCCTATTTTAAAGGTACAATTATGCTCACATCCAAGTTCCTGTTTTATTTTGTTTTTTCTCCTCTATGTTAAAAAGAAATCTTTGCACTAAGAAGGCTGGGAATTGCTGACCTAGAGTACACATTCTTATCCGAGTAGAAAATGAAGAAAGTGTATCTTTGCTTTTTGTTTATGTCTTTTTTGAGTTAGACATTTTGTGGCCACATACTAGGATTTGGATAGATGATAACTGGTCGGCTGAAGCCAAGGCATCATCAGAATTGGGTACTTCAAACGCTTTTTTTAAAAACAGCTAACGCTTAGCAAAGATTCCCACTCAAGCTATCAGAACGTGAGAAACTCACCCCCCTTAAAAATACTAAGCATTGACAGCCCATCCTGCTTCCTTTGCAAGTTTATGGAGACCTACACCCATATTAGCGTGGTATTTGTGAAGCAATTTCAGTCTTTGTCTTTCCTGGAATCCATCTCTAATTCTGCACGTGAGAGATAACCACAGTGATTTACTAGTGCAACTCTCCTAGTTAGTGCACTCTCCCGCTCACTCATCGATCTTATCTAACTGGTCCCTTTCCTGTCTACAGGCCTCTGCCTTGTAGTATTGTAACTTTCCTGAAGAATCAACTGTGAAATACTGGAAGGGAAAAAAAAAAAATTAACAAAGAGACACACACGGGTTTGGTTTCTCTGTGTCCTAAGCCCCACAGGATATTTTTGTGCCCAAAAATACATGCCCACGATCACCTACCGATAACAAGCCCATGGAGAGAGTCAGAGAATTGTTTCAGTGGAATGAACTTGCATGGACAGATTTTCGTCACCTCAGAACTAATAAATGGAATTTGAGTAAATGTTACACTAGGGAGAGAGTTAGCTGGGTATAAGTTTTCAGTTAAGTGACAAAGTTGGCAGTTTGAATTTAAATAAGGATTCGTTTTACTTAGATCTTATTCTTTAATGGCAACAGCCCCATTTTAACAGAAGGCTAAAGAAGTATGTGTGTTTAGGGGAATTGTTTCAAGAGGGGAAAATGGGAGCCAGCACTGCAAACTGGCAAGATCCGGAGGACTAGGTTCTGTACCCATCTCCTGAGAAATGGAGGAGGTAACCCCTAAGGTGCCTTCCAGTAGTAAAATTTCTGAAATATAAAATTTAAATGTAAATTCCCTTAGCTGTAAGAGTATATACATTTATTTTCATAAATATATCTATATACCTATTTCTATACTGTAGGTTTCTATGGAGAGCTCCATCAGTATATTTATATCTTCATGGGTCTGTATCTGTTGATAGAGTCAAAAGTCAGTAGATATTCACACTAGCACTCTTAGGAAAATTCTGCGCAAGGGAGTTTTTCATACCAGCTGCATGTTTTCAGTCTCAACTAAGCGTCAATTCCTTTGTATCCCAGGGTTGTGATACAGTCCGAAGGCTGTGAAGGCTGCTAATTCCCTTTTGTTTTACTGATATTTTCCTCGTTTTCCATATCAGATTTGCCATGGAGAAGATCTCGGTGTCAGCATTCTTGCTCCTTGTCGCCCTCTCTTACACTCTGGCCAAAGATATCACAGCAAAATCAGGGGCTAAGAAAGACACCAAGGACTCTGGACCCAAACTGCCCCAGACCCTCTCCAGAGGTACGAGTCAGCTTTTGGTCGCCTTTCAGTGCCACTTCATTGAGAAGCTGAGGCTTGTGTGCCAAAAATATTCTTGAACGTGTTTCTTCTAAATGTATCAAAGTTTATCATTAATTCTACTTTCTTTAGAGGGTTTTGCATTCGATTAGTATCTAGTATATATTTAGCCCAGTCTTTACCATTGCTTTTCAACAGCTTTAGTCTGAAATTGCAATAGCTTTTAAATATACTGGTTCCTTTTGTTCTAGGTTGGGGTGATCAACTCATCTGGACTCAGACCTACGAAGAAGCTTTATACAAATGCAAGACAAGGTAAAGACGAGGGTCACAGAGTTCTCTTAAAGCTCCCAGGAGCACCCTCTAGTGATATGTAGCTTTACATAAAATCTTACTAATTAAAAATTACCCCATCTCTGTCTCTTACAGCAACAAGCCCTTAATGATTATTCATCACTTGGATGAATGCCCACACAGTCAAGGTAATTTATTCTTCTAAATATAATTTCCTTTATAGGCTTTTAGCTTTAGGGACAAGGTTCAGGTCACTCATCTTTTTATCCTTAGTGCCTAGCACAGTTAAGTAAAACAGAATATCTTATGTAATAACACATATTTTAAAGTAAATTCAAATATTTCCATACTTTGTGTTAACCAGTGGTGCACATTTTGAAAAAAAAAAACAAAAAACTCTAGGATCCATCCTTGACTTCTTGCTTTCTCTTGTATCTTGTATCTCCTACATCAGCAAATACCACTGCTTTACCTTCCAAATATATCCAGAAGCCAGCCCCAGCTTGATGGGTGTGTAAGCTGTGCAGTCACACAAGGCCCTGGAAGTTTCCTATGCTGGATTTAAAACTCTGCTTGTTGCTGTCTTAAAAATTCGTAGTAATTTTTGAGTAAGGGGCTCCATAATTTTGTTTTCTCCTGGGCTCCATATATCATGTAGGTCCTGCCCAAATCCAGCCACTTCCTATTGACTCATTTTACCGCCCTGATCCAAGCCAAGATCACATCTTGTCTAGACTATTTTAACAGCCACCTAACTGATCACCGTGCACTTAGCTCTCCATACCGAACCAGAGTGAGGCTGTTAAACATAAATCAGACCCTTTCACTCATGTGCTCAAGTGGCTTCTTATCACAAGTAAATGAAATCTAAATTCCTGATCATGGCCTACAAGGCTGGACATAATCTGGCCCCTGGCTATCTTTGCGTTCTTACCATTCTGCCCTTGTTTTTTCTCTACTCCGTCTAGCCTGGCCTTTGCATTTTTCCTCCTCCTGAGACCTAAGCTCATTCCTGCCTTAGGGCTATTGCTCTTGCAGCCTCCTCTGCCTAGCATGACAGACCCCCAAAATCTTCAAGTGGATCATTCTCTCCTTTAATGTCACCTCCTCTGAGAGCTCTACCTTGAACATTCTAGAGCTCTTAAACCTCTTGCCTTGCTTTATTTTTCTTTAAAGTGCGTATCTCCACCTGAAGTTATTAGATAATCTGCTTACTTGTTTATGGTCTGTTTCCCACATAAGCATTTGAGCTTTAGGAAGACAGCACATTACCTTTCTTTCTTCTTATTTTTTTTTTCATGACGCTGGTTGTACCACATGATAATCACTCAGTAAATATGGATTGAAAAAAAAAAGGACAAATGAATGAATGATTGAATGAGTGAATGGCAATCAGCAAAGGTAGTCAATGGCCTAGATATTACTTCACTACTCATTTGCTAAAAAGGCAAAGTTGGATATTACATTAAAAATACAGTTCAGCTTAAAATATAAGAGAGAGCAATGGTGTCAGTCAGCGAGGAGATGGATACTTACCGATTCTTCTGTTTATTCTAGCTTTAAAGAAAGTGTTTGCTGAAAATAAAGAAATCCAGAAATTGGCAGAGCAGTTTGTCCTCCTCAATCTAGTTGTAAGTTCACTTTTCATCATCACTGACATTTCTCCATGGCTCATTATTTGAAATGGATGATTCATTTTTCCTATGCCTGTTAGTCACACTGCACTGACTGGGGTCTGTTCCAGAGATCTCATCTCACAGATTACGGAGGAAAAAGATATTTTACTAATAATCTATCTTGCATGGCTGTGCTTTTATTTAGTAATTGACGATTTTAGGCTGTCAGGATTTTCTCAGTTGCTGTAAAAATTGGAAGGCTTTTGTCCTTGTAGATCTCTTCCTGTGCCCTTTTCCCTAAATTCCTGGTGCTCTACACCTCTTCTTAGACCTCGGCTTCTCTCTCCCTGCACCCCTTCTTAGTCCTTGGCTCCTCTCTCCCAGGAGTGACAGTTTCCCAGGCTGTCTAAAGCAAATCAGTGCAGGGGCTTAAGCCTCCCCTCGCATGTGCATTCCACCATCAGTGCCCTTCCTGATGGTCGAGCTGTCTGCAAGTTCTTTCTATTCAGCTACAAATAGGTTCCACTTTTCCTTCCAAAAGGAAACAAGCGAACAATAAACAACTCACAAAACTACTCTCCCTAGCCCTATGTCCTTTCCCTCCCTCCTTCCCCCTTTGCCCCCTTCCCTCTCCCTTTCCCTCTCTCTCCGCTCTTCACAAGCTGACAAAGGTTGGCTTCTTCAAAGAAGAAGCATCAGTTCTTCCTCACCTCCCTTCCACAGGCTCCTATTCCTCTTCCTACCTTTTAATATTAGTGACTTGGTGAATCTCTGCTTGACTTCTCAATATTTTATATTCTCTTTTTAATATTTTACATTCTTTATGGATAACTTCATCTACATCTGCCTTTAATCAATGCCCACGCACTGGTAATTGCCAAACCTTACCTGAACACGCAACAATTTCCAACTTGTGTGTGCAGCCGTGGCCCAGATTTTGCATTATTAGCTTAAACTCAACGTGTTCAACACTGAATTTATCGCTTGGTGCAGGATTTTCCAACAGCTCTCTGTTCTTTATTCCACGTTTCACTGAAAGTTCCATTCGAGATTGCGCTCTCCTACTCACCTCCAGCAGTCAAGAAACCCTGTGGTTCTAACTTCTAAATATTCTTGCTGTAGGTCACTTCCCTATCAAGTGAGGACCACTGTTTAATGTAAGAATTTCTCTCTTTGCCTAGTTTACTACAGTATTACTAAGTGGCTCCCTGCCTACAAAATAAATCCCAGCTAATCCCACGTGGCCATCAGGGGACTGACTCTAAAAACCACACTGGGATCATGGTACTTCGAAATCCCTCCAGTGGTTCTGATCTATTCATGAACACACGCAAACACTGGCACGGCGTGCAAGACCTCTCACGAGCCGGCCCCGGAAGCAGCTCTCTAGCATCTTCTCTCACCACTGCCTCGTGCGTCCTCTTTCAATCCTCCCAAAACACATGGTCCTCCCAGAAAGTGCCGTGCCTTTCCTCTACCTTTGTGCAATCTCTCCCCACTGCCTGGAGTAACCTTGTTTTCCATGTACCTGACTCTTATTCATTTTTTTAAGACTCCTCCCCACCCACTTCAGAGAGTCTTAGTCGACCTTGCATACAGGGTTAAATGCCCTGTTCTGGTCACCCACGGCACCTTCGCGTCCTCCTTCATAACACCGCACCAACTGGATCCTCAGTATTCACGTCCTTACCTGTGTCTCTCAACTGACGTGCATTCCTTAAAGATGAGTGCCATAAGCCTATTTGTTTCTGTAATTTCTCCAAAATGACTTGGTTTTTTTCACTGTTCTATTTCCTCCCATCTCATCCAAGACGTCTTCCCCAAATGCCGTAACTCCCTCCGTAGTCTCCCTTCTTGAACTTTTTTGCTCTTTATCATGTTCATTCAGCTCTCTACCTCAGGTTCTGTATTATGGTTGGCTCTCTTGTTTATTATTTCATGTGTGTAGCTTGCCCCTCATCTGTATTATTAACTCTCTGTGGAAGAGATGTGCCTTACAGTATCTCGAGACGCCTCCCCCAGTAATGGACAGATTTCTGTATTAACAAGTTTGACAATACCTCAAGAATAGACAAACTAAAAGCTGTCTTTTCTTTTAATCTTAGTATGAAACAACTGACAAACACCTTTCTCCTGATGGCCAATATGTCCCCAGGATCATGTTTGTTGGTAAGTAAAAATGACAATGAGATTAAGCACACTGATAATTGCCCAAGTGCCGTGATATCTCGTCTTCCGACACCCCCTCCCTCATCTGCCACTCCATCATGGCCAATGCCATTGCCACGGCCTAGCAAGGGGTAGAACATTCCTTTACATTTCTCCACATTTCTTCATTAGAAAATTCAAGCTTCCACTTATTTCCACGTTTGTTTCTCATCTACTAAAGTAAACTTATCATGTCCTGTCACAAATACATCAGAGAAGGAAGCACCCTGTTAACTATTTAAATGTATTGCCCATTTTCCTGAATACATCAGGCCAGTAAATTCTTATTTTTCATCAGGCAAACTTCCAACTTGTATGTTGGATTTTTCTTTCTGACATTTTTTGTAATTATTTGTGGGCAAGTTAGGAATATGGCTGGCAGAAAAGAAATCAGAGGAGCCATGCTCCTTCCAGCCACTGGTATTTTTCATGTGCTGTTCCCTCTACTGGAAGGCTTTTCCTGCTTCCCCCATGCACCTGCCCATGACCTAGTCATCACTGTCATTCCCTGACCTGGCACAATCGCCATTAATGTGCTCTTGCGGCACTGTGCTCCTCTCAATAGTCACTCTTTTCTCAGATACAATTTTGTATTTATTGGGTGATTGTTTAGTATCTCTTTTCCCCCATAGGGGGAAATATGCAGCTCTTTGTGGCTGGGACTGTGTTTCTTCTGACCATCATATTTTCAGCGTGACCCTGTGGTAGGCTGGCAATAAATATTCGTTAAATGATTGGACACATGAATTGAGACTGACTTTGAGCCAAGTCATACTGATTTAAGGACAATGAATAAATAAATCCATCACATGGCAGAGCTCACCTGATCAAGTGGTGCACCTGTGTGATCCATCCAAGTTCACACTAAATGCACAGAACAGGGGAGAGGAACAAGTGAAGGATCAAAAGGAGGAAGGCTGAACTCGAGCTAATTTTATAGATTCAGTTATGTTCAGATTTAGAAAATCTACAACGTTTAAATTGGGACTTTATAGGTCATCCAGTGACACTCTGTGCAGGAGTTCTTTTCATAGGATTTATTCCCGTCTAAGGGCATTTTAACGCACATTCAATTCCTTCCAAAAGAACCAACTCCAGCTCAGGAGTGTAGACGCTGGCTACAGATTAGAATCACCTAGAAGATTTTAAAAAATCAAGCTGCCGGGGCCACACCTCAAAGCAATTAAATCAGAATCTTGCCGGGATGGGAGGCAGAAGGTATTTCTTGAAGGTCTGGAGGTGGTTCAAGGTTTGCAGCCAGCTGCAGGGGGCAGCTCTGTGAGCCCATCGTTGCCTGTTTCAAAAGCTTTTCTTATGTTAATTTATTACAAAGAGTAGACCCTGCGTTTGTATCCTCCGCACGTAGCAGAAGTATAATAGGTTTTAAGTCTTTGTTGAACAAATAAATGTCTGCTTTTTGTAATTAACGTCAGTGGGGCCCATTCCAACATTCTGAAATGACAGATTGTCCACTAAGGTACCAGTGGCCAACCGTGCATCCAAGCCACTGGTTCTCCCGTGCCTCCTTCATCTGATTTTCAGGACGTGTACCTTAGGCCCCTTCAATCCTCCCTGACAAGGCAAGGTTTCTAGGCCTGTGTAGATCCTAGTACCTCCCCTGGCGATACACCTTATTTTCAAAATGCCTTCTTTTCTCATTAGTTGATAGCCTCAAATTAAATATAAAACATGGAAAAATGGATTTAAACCTCTAGGGATGTAGGTGTGCATAAGGGAAGACTCCTAAATCTTTATTTTTTAAATGCAGCTAGATATCAATAGAGTGAAAAATAGAGAGGGCCCTACATGCTTATTTGGCCTTTGCCACTCTTACGGGTTTGCGTTCCTTTACTCATTAAAAACAACCTTGGGTTTTAAAAACTAGCATTGGATGTAGGTTTCTAATTATCTAGGTTGCTCTTGGTAATACACTGAGATTACAACATGGGCATTTCAAAAGTTTAAAATAGTTCTTTAGTAGAGAATGCCAGTGTTTTCACCAAAGCACCCAACACCCCCCTGCCGGGATGTCTTCTTCTGTCTTCAGGTTGCTATAGATAGGACAGCAGGGTTCATAACCTTTCCCACAAATAGCATTGCGCAGCTGTCGAGGGCTCCGGGCCCTGCTTTGGGGACTGGCAGCCACAGGCCCGGTTGCAGAGGAGACGGACTAGAACTCCATGAGGCGGATCGCACGCTGTGCTCCTTTCCCTGGCCATGGACAAGTATGTGGGCTTCCTCATGCAACAGAGCTTACTTGGAAACATCGACTCCATTCTTGTTTGCTTTTTCTTTGCAGACCCATCCCTGACAGTTAGAGCTGACATCACTGGAAGATACTCGAATCGTCTCTATGCTTATGAACCTTCAGATGTAGCTCTACGTAAGTGTCACCTCCTGTGAACATGTCTATTGCTGTTGCACTAAGAGTAGAGTCCATGATGAGGAGGGAGAAAGCTGGGCTCCGACACACAGAGACTCAGTTTGACACTGACTAGCCTTGTGTCCCTCAGGCAGATCATATTCACTGTGGTCTCATTCATTCATTCATTCATTCATTTATTTTAAGATTTTATTTATTTATTTGACAGAGAGAGAGACAGCGAGAGAGGGAACACAAGCAGGGGGAGTGGACAGGGAGAAGCAGGCTTTCCACGGAGCACGGAGTCCGATGCGGGGCTTGATCCCAGGACCCTGGGATCATGACCTGAGCTGAAGGCAGACGCTTAATGACTGAGCCACCCAGGAGCGCCATAACTTAGCTTTTTTATTTTTATTTTATTTATTTATTTATTTTTAAAAGATTTTATTTATTTATTTGACAGAAAGAGACAGCGAGAGAGGGAACACCAGCAGGGGGAGGGGGAGAGGGAGAAGCAGGCCTCCTGCCGAGCAGGGAGCCCGATGCGGGGCTCGATCCCGGGACTCCAGGATCATGACCTGAGCCGAAGGCAGACGCTTAAGGACTGAGCCATCCAGGCGCCCCATCACTGTGGTCTCATTTATTTAAATCTCAATGAAAGATTCTTTAGATTGGGTATCTTTTTCTCTAGAAGGATTTTATGACCATATTACCTGCTTTTCAATGTTTCCTTAGGCGCCCTCTCGTACAAAGTCCTACCACAGAATCAAGGGCAACGGTAACTGTGTTATTACACCAGTAGTAGGAATCTGCATGCCCTAAATACTTCTTCCAAATAATGAAAGTGAAATAACGTAGTTCTGTGCGTTGATGTTGAGTTTAAGTTCAGTTTTAAAGATCAGTAGGAAAGATGGTTCCCAGGACTTGGCAAGATGCTCACTTTCCCTGGAGTTGCCATAAAATGGAAAGGAAAAAAAAAAAGAAACTCAGGGCAGACAAAGCACCTCAACAGGAGACTGTAGCTATAGGTGTGACATCGAATTAGTCCTTCTGGGAAGACAAATGGGTTCCGTCCTAAGAACCAATCCTGCTCAATGACTAGTTCTAGAGCTGCCTGGAACTGTACTGCCCAATAAGTGAGCCATGAGCTCCATGTAGCTCTTTAACGTTACATTAATTAAAAGTTAAAATTCAGGGGCGCCTGGGTGGCTCAGTCGGTTAAGCGACTGCCTTCGGCTCAGGTCATGATCCTGGAGTCCCGGGATCGAGTCCCGCATCGGGCTCCCTGCTCAGCAGGGAGTCTGCTTCTCCCTCTGACCTTCCTCCTTCTCATGCTCTCTGTCTCTCATTCTCTCTCTCTCAAATAAATAAATTAAAAAAAAAAAAAGTTAAAATTCAATTCCTCCGGCACACTAACCACAGTTTAAGTACTCAACGCACAGGCACTGAATATTTTTGACCATCACAGAAATACCTACTGAGTGGCACTGACCTAGAACAGCATGCTGGGGAGAAGACTTGAGGCTGCATCTTGGCCGCAGCAAAGATTATCATGGTCCATTAGCGAGCGATGCCTCCAGTGGGTGCGGGAGGACCAGGGAAGTACATGCCAAGTACTGGCCATTCTCGAGATAATGGCATATTTCTTAGTACGACTTTGGACTCCTTAAAGGCATGTATCCTGCACAGGTAATATCACAGTGCTTTGTAGAAAAGACACGTGATAAATATTGGAAGAGAACTGGATTGTAGTAAAACCATGTCACATACTTCTAGAAAAAAAAGTCTCACAAAATTACCAACTATTCACCCTATCATGAAATAGCACCCCATTCAACAATGAATAAAGTACCCAAATTTAGGGGCTAACTAGAGCTATCAATATAATTTCTGGTGGCATCTTGACTGTGGCAACTTTTTCCCCATTAGTGCTCGACAACATGAAGAAAGCTCTCAAGTTGCTGAAGACTGAATTGTAGAGAAAAAACGTCTGCAAGCTTTTCCCTCTCTGTCCGGCCCTGAGACTTAGAACCAGAGGAGATGCTAGAAGACACTGGAGAATGCAGGCACACTGATGGACATGCTGATTGGATTATGGTTATTGTTACAACAGCTATTTTTTTAAAATCTGGTTTCAAGTATATATGCATGAAAACAATATTGCATACTACCAGAGTAAGCCATGCTTCTTTTTAAAAAAAATAAATAAATAAATCCTTTTGGGGGTGTTCAGACTGTTATTTTTCCTCCAACTTAGTCCTTCAGAGAAAACCTATTTAGTTCATTCACCAAATAGGACTTCTGGACACACGAAATATTCAAAGAGGAGAAAAACTGACTTATCTGGAGCAATGAAGACCAAAGACAGTCCAAGTTAACACATCACTATATAGTTTCTCACTGCGTGACTAGAAGTAGACATGAGCTTAGTCAATATAAGTATCAAAAAAGAATATGTGTTTAAAAGAATATGTAGAAAGGCACCCCAAGAAGATCAGGTACTTCCTTGAAGACAACCCCTCCCCACCCAGGCCAGAAACTCCTATGTACACACTTTACTTCAAGAATTCAATTTTAGTTGGATTTTGCACAATTGAACCCTCTCAGAGAAAGTCTCTGACAGATAGCTTTCTCCATCAGAGCCCTAATTTTGTGAAAAGGTCAAAGAACATCTGTACCCATGAACATACCCTAATGAAAGCCTAAGAATTCGCCTTATAATACATTTGGTCGCTCAAGATTTTAGAGCACTGCCCTGGAATAAATTTAGTTGAGTTGTTCCCATCTTCACTAAAACGTGACTAGCTGGGAGAAGAGCAAAGGTAATGACATCATGTCTATGAGCAGAGGTCAGAGGTCACCACTTACTTTTGGAGAAGTTGAGAGAGGTGGTGGCTTTCAATAGGGGAGAAGCTTTCGCTACTTTCAACTCTTGATTCTGAATGACAAAAATTAGAACTGTGTATTAATTTCTTCACTACATATTGAATCTCACATTCATTGTCACATGGAATTTCTTTATCACCCAGCCCCCACTGACTTCTTTGGCCCATGAATGGCTATGGTGGTCCGTACCATGCTTTGAATATTGATATATTGATTATCTATTGCTTGTCTTGACAAACTTTTCTTTGGCATTATTATCTTTTCCAGGGCAGAATATACATTTTAAATTCTTTTCTCTTTCACAGTACTATCAAAAAACTATGTACTAATAGGGTCTGTGTACATATGGTTGATTTAATGACATACAAATCCTCAGTAAAAATATTGGCAGAGGGATTGGGCTCTCTTCTTACAAATAGGTACATATGTTGGGGCGCCTGGGTGGCTCAGTCGTTAAGCGTCTGCCTTCAGTTCAGGTCATGGTCCCAGGATCCTGGGATCGAGCCCCACATCGGGCTCCCTGCTCAGCAGGAAGCTTGCTTCTCCCTCTCCCACTACCCCCTGCTGTGTTCCCTCTCTCGCTGTGTCTCTCTCTGTCAAATAAATAAATAAAATCTTAAAAACCAAACAAAACGAAAAAACAAACAAGTAGGTACATATGTTAAAAAGGTTAAATATTATATTTAGAAAGTTCTCTGAGAGTTAATGAAGGGGAAAAAAGTTTTCACTTATATACAAATATTTTGAATGACAACTTCTAAGATGTTCAGGTTTCCTCTATAGTACAGCAGAATAAAAATTAAAAAATTGGTTTTTTTATCAAGCTGATATAAAATTAAGTCCTTAAAGTTTGTTGAATGACAAAATGTTACTTGAACAACATATATAATTTTTAAGATATAAATACATCTCTGGGAAGTCAAATGTTAAGGTTGCAAGGAAGATAAATCTCCCTTAGAAAAGTGTTAAACAAAGACATGGTCTCCTCTACTTCTGAGAATTTGTCCTCCTGCAAATCAGGAAATCATCCAAAACAAAGTTCTGTGAAGATGCCGATGGCAACATTATTTAAACATACTTAAAAAAAATGGCAACCACCAAATATAGTGGTTACATCGTGTATTAACACAAAGTGCACTATGTCGTCATCTATAAACATAAACAGTGTGAAGAAACAGAAAGAATAAGTGAACAAGAATATAGGTATTTCTGTGCTGTAATTGTAATTCCAGGAAGTATGTGAGAAGTGAAGCTGTAAAGAGAAGAACTTCTGCTTGAAGCTTATGGAAATCATTAGCAAAGCCTGTTCATTCTTGTCATCCCACAATCTTTCCTGTGTGTTCAAATAAACTGAAGTGAAAGCATACCTTGACTATTTCTCTAATTACACAGAACTGGAAGAAAGCTGTAAGCCTAGAGAGCATTATTTCAAACAACGGAAGCAAAATGTTGGTAACAGTGGGAACACGAAATGGTACAACCACTGTGAAAAACAATGTGACTGTTCCTCAAGAACTTTAGCATAGAGTTACCATTCGATCCAGTAATTCCACTTCCAAACACCTGAAAGCAGGAAAAAAACTCTATCTGTGCATTCACGTTTGTAGCAGCATGATTCACAATAGCCAGTAGGTGGAAGCAACCCAAACGTCCAATCGGCGGCTGAATGGATCAACAAAATGTGGCATATGCCAACAAGGGAACACTATTCAGCCTTTAAAAGGAAGGATCCTGACACCTGCTACAACATGGATGAACCTTGAAAACATTAGGTTAAGTGAATAACGAAACCAGTCACATAAGGACGAGCACTGTGTTTCCACTTACATGAGGGATCTGGAAGAGTCAGATTCACTGACACAGGAGAATGGCAGTTGTCAGGGGCTAACGGAAGAGGGGGAAGGGGGTGGGGGGATTGTTTGCCAGGTGCACACTGTCAGCTTGGGAAGATGAAAAAGCTCGTGGGGATGGTGGTTGGGTCACACTGTGAATGCACTTAATGACACTTTATTACACACTTAAAAATAGTTAAAATGAGGGGCGCCTGGACGTCTCAGTCGGTTCAGCGTCTGCCTTCGGCTCAGGTCATGATCCCAGAGTCCTGGGATCAAGCCCCGTGTTGGGAATCCCTGTTCAGCAGGGAGTCTGCTTCTTCCTCTCGCTCTGCCTGCTTGCGCTCACTCGCTCTGTCAAATAAATGAATAAAATCTTAAAAAAAAATAAAATGATACATTTTATGCTATGTGTATTTTACCACGCTAAAAAAAAGGAATGTTTTATCAGTTTTATTGGAGGCCCCTCATCTTAGGGGGAAAAAGGGTAATTTAGAAAAAACTTGGTAACATAAATCATCTGTGAGTCATTTACACAGATGATCAACATGCCGGGTTAAACCATTTTCACCTGCTTGAGAACTGCAGTCTTCAATCATCTACCACTGTTTAGCTCTGCTTTGGGTTTTTGCGCGTTTCAGGCATTCACTAATCCTAAGTAGCTTCTAAGGTCCTTATATTTAGCAGTCACTGGTGAGCACAGGAGTGGGGGTCGGGGGCTGCGGGGGGTGGGGGGAGGGGGGAGGGGGGAGATAAAAAAAAAAGCTCTAAGACAAGAACAGAAATTCCTTCAGTTACTCACCAAGGAGGCAGAGTTCAAAATCCAAGTGAGCCTAACTTTTTTTTTTTTTTAAGGTTTTATTTATTTATTTGACAGAGAGAGACACAGTGAGAGAGGGAACACAAGCAGGGGGAGTGGGAGAGGGAGAAGCAGGCTTCCCGCCGAGCAGGGAGCCCGATGTGGGACTCAATCCCAGGACTCTGGGATCATGACCTGAGCCGAAGGCAGACGCTTAACGACTGAGCCACCCAGGCGCCCCGAGCCTAACTTTTTAAAAAGCCACTTGTCAAGTTGTCACCTCATCAACCGTAAAAACCAGATCCTGAAAGTAAACAACGGTGGTTTCACCCTCCAAGTGATATCACGGTCCACTGTTTGCCGTATAATCTAACTCAGGCAACTCCCTCCCGCCCTCATTTGAAAATGAATTCCAAAAGCGGATTTTCCTGAGGAGAGTGGATGAGAAGTAGCCTGGCCTATGGTAGAAGAGTCTGATTTTTCCCTCTTGCCCACTGTCTCAGGAGGTATGTCAAGGACTACAATTACCCAGTTGTGATGGGTAATTGTAACAGAGGAAGACCTCTGTTCTCTTCTGTCTCCCCCTGGGGGTTCAGTGGAGAAATGGGGTAAAAGGCATTACTGGATTGCTCCCTAAAGTTGTTTAGAAAACACTGACCAACAACACATACCGTAATTGCATTTGGCATAGCCAGGTGTAAAAATTAACTGCCAGACCAAAACATAACGAGTGCCTAGTAACTATCCCCTCCACATTTCCAGAAACCTGAACAACTTGGTCTTTAACTTTATATATATATATATATTTTTTTTTAATGTTTTATTTATTCATGAGAGTCAGAGAGAGAGAGAGAGAGAGGCAGAGGCAGAGGGAGAAGCAGGCTCCCCGCCTAGCAGGGAGCCCGACGCGGGACTCGATCCCAGGACCCCGGGATCATGACCTGAGCCGAAGGCAGACGCTTAACCATCTGAGCCACCCAGGCGCCCGGTCTTTAACTTTATTGTCCACTCTAATAAAACAACTGACGTGCGAATGATCATATTTGTACAATCACATGCCTGGAAGTGTTTTTTCTCCTATGAAATATTATGAAAAAATGCAATTCTAATTTGTTCAGTACCAGCTATAAAGTGAAATTGTTTCATATATTTACTTGGTGCATTTTCAAAAGGATGAATAAACTTAAACAGGGTTAAACAAATACTTAGAAAAAGTGTAGGAGGAGGTTTTTGGTTCAAGGAAACTAAGAACTTAAAGCCCCACTTCTGGATTCTTTTCCCTCTCTGAAAGGTTTTTCTCAGCAGCATATGACTTGGGTTGAACATGCAGAACTGGTTTTCAGACCAAACTGGTTGTTTCAATCACAGAGTGTCTGAGATGAATTTATGCCACATGAACTCTGATTTTAGAAACTGTAGCCTAACATTTTTCCTTTGTATTAGCATTTTATTAACTAAAGTTTCACCCTTCACACCAAAGCTGACTGGGCAAATGGAATATGTAAATAGGGAATAAGAGAAATTTTAAAAATGAGTAGAGCTTCCTTTTTAAATAAATGCTAGGTGGTGAGAGAGAGAGGCGCTCTTGAGTATGCATTATGGACATTTGTTTTAATTCAAGGACAGACCCTCCTCTGACCCCCTCCTCTGATCCCGTGTGTTTACGGGCAACATTTCTATGCACACAGGCAGCAGCGCTCCTGTAATC